CTGGACCCGGCAGCTTAAACTCACGCCGGTACGTGTGCATGCGTGCTCGAGATCCCGAGAGGAGAATGGAGGAGAAGGGATTGCAGCGTGGCCATCCCCCCGAGGGGTGATTTCTCGCTTTCTGTCTGTCTCTCTCTGTGTTCCTGGTGAGCGCATGCACCTTGTAGCAAAAAAACTCTAAAAAATAAATAAATAAATAAAATAAAAAGCATTCCCAAGCAGGTGGTCTCTGAAGACAGTCAGACCTCCCCAAACCACTGCCTGCCTGGCCTGCCTGGGGAGAAGCTCCTGTTTCCACGGGACAGCAGAGGGGAGGTTGGCATCAACCCGGAACGCGCTGAGTTCCAGTGTAGACGCTCACCCGTTGTGTTCCTGCAGCCACGCTGACTGGCCTCTCCTTGTCAGTCTGCCCACTTACGGTATTGGGATCATAATAGCAACCTCAGAGAGTAGCTGCAAAAGCACAGCTGCAGGAACGGGGCATGCCCAGCAGTGACCCCCACCGTGGCAGCCGGTGTGCTGGGGCCCGTCGGTCGGCATCTCTGCTTCCCCAGGCCCTACCCCATCCTGCTATCCTTACTGGTGTCCCAGTCGTCTCTGAACAAACTTTTCTCTGTATCTCCGCTTACCTCGACCTCTCCCTGCAACACCACCCTTCTCCCTCATACCTAAAAGTTCATCCATCCTCCACACAGCTGACCGCGACTCGAACTCAGACCTCGGAGCCTTGAAGAACGTGCTGGGCACATGTGCACTGCTCAGGGTCCCGACTGGATGGAGGAATGAGGCAGAGAGGATTACAGCAAGGCCGTGTTCTGCCGGGAGGAGGGCTTGCTCTCTTTCTTTTTCTTTCTCTCTCTCCTTTAAAAAAGATTAATCAATTAAAAAATAACCTTTACATTTTCCTACGTGGTTATTATTTCTGCTACTCTTCAATGGGATAGTCCAGATTTCTAATTGGTATAATTTGTATTCTGCTTGAAGGACTTTAAGCTTTTTTTTTTCTTATAGTGCAAGTCACTTGATGAATTAACTTTGGATTTTTAGACCTGCAAAAGTCTTTATTCCATTTTTGAAAGATATTTTCATTATGTAGGCACCAGCAGGGGGCGTGGTGGTCAAGGGTGCTGGACTCTCACATGGCTGACCGTGGTTCGAGTCCCAGACCTGGTGACTTGCTTTCTCTCTTTCTCTCTCTCGCTCTCCCTCTCTGGTCAAATGAAATAAAGTAAAATAATTCTTTAAAAAGACAGAAAGAGGGACCAACAATTAGCGTAATGGCTATGTCGCTGAACTCCCATGTAGCCAACCACGATTGGAGTCCTGGACCTGGTGGCTTAAACTCACGCTGGCCCTGTGTGCGTGCGTGCCCAAGATCCCGAGAGGAGAATGGAGGAGAAGGGATTGTGGTGTGGCCATCCCCCCTGGGGGGGAGGGTGATTTCTCGTTTTCTATCTCTCTGTCTCTCTCTGTCTTTCTGGCGAGCGCACGCACCCTATAGCGAAAATCTCTCAAAAAAATAATACAGAAAGAAAGATATTTTCATTATATAAAAATGTCTAAGGTGATCATTTTTATTTCGTAATACTTTACAAATATTTTAGAGTATTTTTGACATGTGTATGAAATGGCCCATATTTTTTACGTGCTGTTGAACACCATCCATAGCCTCATAGCCTCTTCCCTTCATTCACACGCATTCTGTCCATTAAAACTTCTCCCACAAGCCCCCCGCCCCCGCCCCGCTTCCTCCCCACAAGCAGCTGCTGCTGTCATCTCTCCACCGTTTGCGCTTTCGCATGGTCAGTCCCTGCCGTAGAGTACGGACGTTCAATGTGTGTTTAGCAAGGACATGTGGCATGTGTCTTTCACAGTCTGGCTTATTTCACTTGGCATTATTTCTTCAATGTCAAACGACAGGATCTTGTTGTTCTTTACGGCCAAGTCAGAGAGAGTCCCTTGCATGTACGTACCGTGTTTTCCCAGGCTGCATCCACAAATCGGCTACTGTGAGTCGCTGCAACAAACAGGGATGTGCCAAGGTGTTGCACTATTTCTCCTTTTTTTCTCTTTTTTTAATTTGCTACAGGGTATATGTGCTCACTGGAGAAAGAAAGAGAGAGAGAGAAAGTGAGAAAGCATCCCTCCCCTCATGGAGCATGATCACACAGTACCCGCTTCTCCATGTCTCCTTTTGGGATCTGGGGCATGTGTGCACACATGCCTGGCGTGCTTTTTGAGCCACTAGGTCTGGGACTCAAACTACGCAGTTGGCTTGTGAGGTCCAGCCCTTCAACCACCATGCCACCAGCTGGCCCGTCAGACTATTTCTGAGGTACGTTTATTCTAACAAGAAATCTGCTGTCTCCACCCTCCCCCCAACCCCCGGCTACTTTTCAGATTTTTCTCTCTACCCCTTGTCTGAGCACTTTGATGAGGAAGTATTTTGGTGTGATTTTCTTCCTGCTTTTGTGCACAAGGTTCATGAGTTTTTGAATATCTGCTTTATATTTACTGAAGAAAATAGGTAGCCATTAGTTCTCCAAAAAAAAAAAACCTTGGTAATCACCTGTTCTCTCTCCTCTTCAGAGACTCTAGTTACATGTATGTTAAGGTGCTTGAAGTTTTATCACAGCTCACTGATTCTCTTATTTAATTCCTTTTCTTTTTTGGAGTATTTTTCCTCTTTGTGTTTCATTCTGGATAGTTTTTGCCATAGGGCAGGTGCCACCACGCCCTCACTCTGAGTAGTTTTCATTGCTTCGCCTTAAGTTAACTAATCTTGTCTTCTGCAATAGCCAATCTGCCATTTGCAACATCTAGTGCGTTTTCTTTTTTCTTTTTCTTTTTTTTTTTTTTTTTTTTTTTGAGATTTTCACTATAGGGCGCGTGCGCTCGCCAGACAGACAGAGACAGAGAGACAGGAAGCGAGAAATCACCCCCCAAGGGGGAATGGCCACGCCGCAATCCCTTCTCCTCCATTCTCCTCTTGGGATCTTGGGCACGCACGCACACGCACCCGGCATGAGTTTTAAGCCACCGGGTCCAGGACATGAACCACAGTCGACTACGTGGGAGTCCAGCGACATAGCCATTATGCTAACTGCTGGCCCCCATCTAATGCATTTTCCAAAACAATCTCAGACATTAGAGTTTTCGTGACCATAAGTTTAATTTGGGTCTCCTTGTATTTTCTGTTTTTCTTAAGATGTTCGATCATTCATCTATCTGTTTGAACATATGGGTTATACTTGTTCTCATAACTGTGTTAAAGTCCTGATCTACTCATTCTATCATTATGTGTGGGTCAGCTTCCATTGATTGCATTTTCTTTATATTCTGAATAATATCTTTCTGCTCTTTTTCATCCCTAGTAACCTTTACGTGTATGCCGGATATCTAAATTTTATCTTATTGGGTAATAGATATTTCTGTATTCCTGTAAGTATTCTTGACCCTGGTTATGGGACATGACTAAGTTACTTGGAACCAATTCAATTATTTTTATTTTAATATTTTAAATTATTTCTTTATTTTATTGCCCAAGGGCACGCGTGCTTGCCAGAGAGAGAGAGAGAGAGAGAGAGAGAGAAGGAGAAGATGCGCCTTCCCCTTCAAGGAGCTGTAGTCATGCCACAATCCCTTCGCTACCATTTCTCCATCCTGTTAGGATTTGGGGCATGCATAAATATGTTCGCAGTGTGTTTTCCAAGCCTCTGGAACTGAGATTCAAACTGCAGTTGACCATGTGGGATCTAGCTCCTTTAATCACTAGGCTGCAAGGTTAGCTCGGGACTTGTTTTGAAACTTCGTTATGAAGGATCAAAGTAGTGTTTACTCTGGGGCTAATCTTTCCCCATTGCTGAGGTCAATTCTGTGTGTTCTCCCTGATGCTCTGTGAGTTATAAAATGTTCCGCGCTAGGTGGTGAGAACAGGCATGATTTATTTCCTTGTATGAGCTGCAGGGGTTTTCCCTCTGGTCTTTTTTTGGGTGATGCCTGTCTCTACAGTGAGAGTTCCTTATACACACACACCAGCCAGAACTGGGCTGAATACTCAGGGACCCGGTGTCGTCTCTCTGCGACCTCCTCGCTGTCTCCCCTGCACCTGCAAACCATGTTGCCTTCCCAGCTTTGTCTTCAACTCGGAGATCCTCCTACGTTCTCGCTTAGTTCCCATCCAGGCAGTAAGCTGTGGCATGGTAAGGCATACCTCGCTTGCTTCTTGTCTAATTTTAGAAATCAGAGCTGTTTGCTTCCTGATAGCCAGTGTCTAAAGAACTGTTACTTCACGTACGGGCCCAGTTTTTCAGTCATTTTGGGTAAATGCAAATCTGGCCCATTAGACCAGCTTGTTCAGAATGGAAAGTCTCAAATGTCTGCCTTTTGGTACTTCAAATTTAAAGTGTCTATTAGTCACCCTCACAGAGATATACATACCGGATCTTATGAGTCAAAGACTTGGTGGGGAGTCGGCGTACTCGGCCCATTGAGAGTTGTCTGTTTCCTTGGAATTTCCTGCAAACACCTTGGCTGCTGACAGATAGGAGAAGATCCCGGGTGTTCTGTGCTGGTAGGAATGCGGGGTTCAGCTTGCCTCCCACTTCACCATAACCACCACCCTGATGCCTGCTTTGTTTGAACAGTCAAAGCCACTATTTTTTTTTTTTTTTATCCTAGGCTTTCGGTAGCTCAAGGAATTTTAATTCCTTCAAACACATCCTGTGGTAGTAATCTATAACACTTACTTTCAGTTCTATGTATTAATCATAACCACGGCTATTTCTGGGCTACACCTCCCAGAACTTCCCGTTTGTTTTGTAACCCGGCTTCCTCGTCTTTCCCAGTGTCAAGGCCCCTATGTTGAACTTCTCCAGCTTGAACAAAGAGCCCACATTTAAATGTTTTGCACTCGGTGCTTTATTCAACTGCTAAGTGTTACTGAGTCTTTGTTGCTCAAAGCTTTTTAAAATCCTCTGTCTTTCTACTGGCGCTTCAAAGGACTGCTTTTCCATCCCTTGAAGGTTCTGAGTTTCTGGAATCTATTTCATTTTTTGTCTACTTTTACATCGGCCGATTCTTTTCTGCAGGTACATCTTTCTTGACGTACTTTGTCCTCACAGCCGGTCATGCCCATGCACGAGACTGCTCTCCATCCTCCATCCTGCCACGGGGGTTCAGC